GAAGACCTCATTCAACAACAGTGCAGGAGAGGAAATTATGTTTAACCAACAGGGAGAATTTGAAGGGGGGTTTGATATTACCAACTTGGTCACTTTCCCTAACCGGTCCTATGTCAGGGTCAAAGTGGGAAGAGTGGAACATCACATTGCTGCAGACAAAGGATTCACCATTAATGAGGACAAAATTGAATGGCACAGACAATTGAAGCAGGTGGGGAAATGCCACTATTTCTTGCACAATTCATCCTTAACTTGATAACTTGATATTTATTTATTTATTTAATAAATTTATATGCCATCCAATTACTTGTGTTTCTGGATGGCTTACAACATAAATAAAATTGACAAACCCACTCTTGCTGCAAGTCAATAGAAATACCACCGTAAAATTCAGTATTAAGACATAATAAAATATTGATTAAATAAAAAGGTGTTAACCTGGCACCAAAAAACATGATGACGGTGCCAGGCGGACCTCTCTAGGGAGTGTATTCCATAGTCAGGGCACCACCACAGAGAAGGCCCTCCTCCAGGTACTCTGTCTGCTAACATCTTTTATGGGAACACCATATAGGGAGTGCAGAATTATTGCATTTAAAGTAAATAAAGTAAATATGGTGCCTACAGTTCAGTTTGGGGACAAAAAGATACAATAGATTCCCAGATCCAAGGTCTAAGTCAAAGACCCTATGTCACATCCAGAAATGTAGGCTCTTACATCTTTTCCCATCACAGCCAACACAGAAAGAACTGCATAGGCTACCTCTCCAACACTGGGAATTAGACCTTGGAGAGTGGGTTAAAGGATGGTCCAATGATTTGCCAGGAGAGGAGACGATAGAAGAGCAAGAATGAGCAGCTCTCAGCCAAGCAGCCATCTTCAAAATTCCCCCATCTCAATCTCAGAACAAGAAACAAAAGGAGGACTAGTGCTTTGGTGTTCTTTATTTAGCCCTTCCTGTGCATTAAGCTGGTGCAGCTCCATGTACACCAGAGTCCTTGAGTGGAAGGAGGAGCCCTTCCACTCGGGCACGTCTCCTGGCCCCAAGCTTGCTCAACAGCAGCTTCTTGTGTCCCCAAGGGAAAAGTCCTTGGCTTGGCACAGCATTTTTCTGCACTGTTGGCCACATCAGTTCCTATCTCAGTGTTTTTTTGTTGTCGTGGCATCAGCTGTTTGCACAACTGAACATCCCATTCAGAATTCACCTCCATTCAAGATAAATTATTCAGCCCTTTAAATTATGATGCCTTGCCTAGTCCTTGAACCACTTATACATGTACATGGTTATGACACTGAAAGAAAAAAGAAAAGGGTATGTGAAAAAGCTGAATGGTGCAATTCTGGGGTCTCCAAGAGACAAGGCTGTGCCACGAACACCCTATGTTTTGCTTTCTCCCCACAACACTCTTGGGCCCAATCTCTTCAATCTCATGGCTTGCTCTACCCACATAAAGCTCCCATTGGGAATGATGGATCCGTGTCCTCTCCAGGCTCCATCTCCCACTCCACTACCCAGCAAAATGGCCAAAACAAGGCTATCTCGAAAAATGCAGAGAGGAAGGAATGGGCAGAGAAAGATCAAATTGGCTGCTTCTGTTGCCCTTCCTTGCAAGGCTGCC